TTGAATTCTGATAGAATTTTGTAATTCTATAGCTTGTTCTACTGGAAAAATGGAGGAAAGATTGATTGCTTATAAACAAAACTGAGCTATTGGTTTGCTATATGCCCAAAATCGATTGCTTGTAAACACAAACTTTTTACACTTTTGAAGCTCTTCTTGGATATTTTCCCATTATTATGCTAATGCTAATTGTATTATATATAGTCCATGCTATTTTGAACATATTCTGTTCTAACTAGTAGTGCCTACAATAAGCATAACAGTGATTGATATGTCCATGAGTGTTGAACTGTTGGTATTGGGAAATTGGATGACGAAAATATTTTAACCTTCTATTTGACTAACTTATTGATCCTTTTTGACCCTGAATTTCTTTGTTCATAGAATTTCCATTAGTTTGGATTGAACTTATTGAATTGAATCAATTCTATTGCCTTTTCCTTTTTTGAATGTGACTGTTGTTTGATGCTTTGAACCAATTAGCAAAAGTTGCGTTGTTTGTTACCTCTTAGAAAGTAATAATACTTGAAGTTGAAGGTGTATATTTTGAGCTCATTTTTGGAGTTGGTGGTTATCTACAACTCATGGTCAGACCCTGATGCCCTGCATATTTGTTTTCCTAGCTGACTTGAACTGATCTAAGTTGTTGATTCTTGCAAATATCTGCAATTGGACACATCGAGTGCCTTCTAGAAATCATGGGTTGGACCTGATATATTCAGCGTGCACGGAATCATTAATAATTCGCAAATATTGTAGATTTTTTTTTTATAAGTAAAATATTGTAGATTATTGATGAACGTGTAACTGTTTTTTCATTGTTGACGTCAACTGGCAATGTGGTGTGCCTCTAGGTCATCTCTTGTTAATTATTAATGGAAGTAGAGGCATTGTTCTTTCAGTAGTGTGTCTTGTCCAGCCATTGATTTATGGATTTACTTTTTCTTTATACAAGTAATTGTTTTTCAATTTTTTTAATTTCTACTTCTTTTGAATGGGTGGGGGTTGTGTCCATCACCCCTTATATATATATATATATTCCTTTTATTTATGTTTTATTTTGAAGAGGTAGTTTCTGAAGTCATAAAAGCCAAGGAAGTAGTGGTCAAATTTGTGTTGGTCCCATACTCAAAGTACATCATATTGACATATTGCTTTGTGGGTTGGATTTCAATTTGGTTAATAAAAAGATGCTTTTTCCTTTGTCTCTTTGATGTTGGACAAGGGAGCAGCCTTAATAGTTAAGAACTTAAAGAATTCGGAGGCTGAAAGTTCAAAGAACTAGGGCTAAAATTTGGAATGTTTGATAGTAGAAATGTTGGAAATCAAGGAGAATAGAATACAAGCTGCCTATTGGCGGCATCACTCCAACAGGGTCAGAAAAATAGATTATGGTTCAAGAGAGAAAGGATTTGAAAATAAGAAAAAGCCTATTGGCATACACCCAGAAAACCAAAAAAAAAACCTATTGGAATCACTCCAACAGGCCTAGGTATCACACCTAGAGAAGTCCTCACACCCTCGGAATTTGTGAATCACTCACAGATAAATCTTAAAGGATATTTTTATTCATTCATTCATTGCCTCACCAAGTTTACATCATACCCTACTTATAGCAACTTATGACCCTGAGATTACCCCATGATTGAGGTAATAAAAAGTTGACTCTATAACATAATAAAAGTAATCACTCCATAATTGAGGTAATCAATATTTGACTCTATGATTACCCCATAATTAAGGTAATCAATACTTCCCTAATAGCATAATTAAAGTAACTAAAAGCTGACCAAATCTCCCAATTATTCAAAACTCCATGTGGACCCATATTATCTAGCGTATGCCAGCTCGAATCTTAGAATCCTCCTTTTGGCGCCTTTTATACACCTTTAAAAATTTCTGCCATTGATTTCCATCACTCTTTATTCCCCCTTCTAAGGTTGGGCTAGGAGTCATCAGTTCCCAAAGATTCTTTGTGTGTGTGGAAAAGGAGGGGGGATGCTCCATTTTCCAATATTAGAAGTGCTGGATTGATATAGATTGAAAATCAGTTGCACATAATTCTATCATATTTGAAAAGATATGGAAGCTGGAATTTGTGGCACTTCAATATTATTCTCCTTTGACTACTTATTGAATTTCTCAGGCATCTCTCTACAATCAGCTTTTACAGCCGCCAGCAGGGATTTATATTTAACAGTGATATTGTCTATTCAATACGGTGGAAGTATATAAAGTTGTGTGTATCATCATCTTAGCACGTCTTCCAGACCCTCATTGGGCTTTCCTTTATTATACAACCCTGTATACTAGATTTTCTCAATAAGGCACTAGTCATTAGTCATTACATATGTAGCAAACAGCTGCTAATGATGGCAGCATGGCAAAAATAAGTTGTTGTATGGAAGAGAAAAGGTTGGTCAAAAGGTATAGGATTTGTAGTGGTGGAAATTCTAAGAGCTTTATATGGTATAGCTTCAATCCACCCCCCTCTCCAAACGTTCAGTTGTGGTTCAGATGGGTCATTGCTAAAATGAATCGAATTCTATCAGATATTTATATTTCTCCTTTGACATACTCGTATATATATATATATATATATATATATCCTATAACTTTCATTTCACAGTAGAAACTATTCTAGGAGAACTTTGAATCAGTTCCGTTCAGATGTTGATTGCTCTAGTTTTGGTTTGACATCGTTTACTCGTTACTGGTTCTGGAAGAGTGGAAGAGTTACTCTCTCCATTAGCTAAACCATTTCTTACCTTGCGTATGGATTCGTATATTCTATGTACACAATCAACTGAGGGCTCCTTGACATATTTTGCAACGTCTCCAATAAGCGTGCTCCACGAGCTAACTTGTGTGTTTCATGGAATTTTTATGAATTGTGAGTGTGTTATGATTTTTTGTATTACGTTTCCTTTGATTTTATTGGTTCCCATTGTTTTTTTCAAGTTCTTAGTTAACTATGAGGTGTCTATAATATTGAAACTTCTAGGTGAGATCCTATCATTTTTATTTCCTAGTTTTTAGATGCAAATGCAGCAAAACTTGATCTCAAGTAAAAGCAAGAATGAAAATGCTCTCTTACCAGATTGCACATTTTTAGCATTCATTTTTCCTATTTCCATTTTGATGTAATATGATCTGTATCTTGCAGGTGAATGTTCCAAAGATAAAGAAGACATATTGCAAGTCTAAGGAATGCCGGAAGCACACCTTGCATAATGTTACGCAGTACAAGAAGGGAAAGGATAGTTTGGCTGTGCAGGGCAAGCGCCGGTATGATCGGAAACAGTCAGGTTGTGGTGGACAAACCAAACCTGTTTTCCACACGGAGGTAAAACCTATTTCTATTATGTCGGGAGATAAGAAGGGGAAGGAGACTTCTCTTTTCTAAGTGGCAGTTTTATGGAGTATCACCCTGGTCTTATTGCTGTGCTATGTTTCTTGACCTCAGGTTTAACTTTCAATTTGAATGCTTCTGTTTTATGCTTGTTTTTAGTTTTTGAAATGAATGGATATACCTTGCATACTTGAAGGGCAATGTAGCTTGGATTAAGCTATCGAGATTATGAATATAAAAATGGATTTTAAATATCACTATTTAGCAGGCAGGTTCTGTAAAGATCCCGATAAATCTAATTGGTTTGTGTTGCATTGTCTATTCAGCTTTCTTATTTGTTGTCATAGGCTTTTGTGTATTGAACCTTGCTACCCTATCAGTGCCATGATAATACCTTCATTTGTATATTTGTGCTTATATATATACATATTTATATTGATTACTGTAGTATGTTTGTTTTTGCTTTAATTTATTTTTTTGGGTAAATTGTTTTTGATTTTATAGAACTACTCTTATAATTTGAGTAATAGGGAACATGAATAAATGATGAAGAAGTTTTACATAATTATGGGTGGTACCCTCTATGCACAAATGCATTGATAAGGGGGCAAGAGTTTCCTTCACCAAGATGATGCTTAACATGTGAATTCAAATCTGGTGAAAAAGAATATATAAAGAGCGGATGTGAGTTATTTGTCATGAAAAAAAAGGCATTTTTTCCTTGAACAAAATAATTTTTAACTTTTTATTTTAATTATATATATATATATATATATCTGGACATACGGAAATGATCTCTTGCTCAACGGTGAGCAAGAAATTTGTCCACATAGATGGATATGTATTTGCATCTGAGTGCTTCCTTTTAGGAAAATTGTTTCAAGTATTTCTATTATCCCTTTCTAGGATGGTTTCTCTCTCCCTCCCTGCCTATTAAAATACTATCCATGCACATTTTCTAATATAGAGTACTTAAAGTTGTACATTTAAAATTATATGGGTGAATTATCCTGACCTCCTCACGTTTCCATCCTCAGACGAAAACCTTTTGAAAAACCAATCTTCCCGGTTAAAATTACTGAAATAACCGTGCAAATGTTTGTAATGACTTGTACTCCCATCACTAAAGCGAGTTACTGATAGTTGGAAATTCTTTAAAGTCCTTGCACATCCTTAGGTGACCTAACACATTAAAACTCAATGTTAGATGGATATTCCAAAACAAATTAATTGACCTCTTTCCATAGTCGTCAGTTGCATTTCTCTCCGGTTGAAAAATCTGAGGGCGACAGATAACATACATATACATCCATCATTTTCAGTGAGTGGAGTCTTATTTTTGACTTGTTTGGTGTCTTCGAATTGACGCTTGGAGAGGGTGTTTCGTGTGATCCCACGCTCTTGATTTTTGGAGGGTGGCACCCTTCTGTGTTTGTTGTGCATTTGGCAAAAGCGGAACAAAAGAACCTTTGATGGGGGAAGCGGAACAGGTTTTGTTGGACACTTTCTAATATATTTTTACTTTAAAAAAAAAAAGAGAAAAAAGAAGAAGAAGAAGAAGAAGAAGCATGCATCCACACAAAACACTAGAAATGGTTCAGCTGATCATGTAACACAAACATATTTCAACCATAACTTCATACCAAAATAAATAAATAAAATACACTTCAACCATAGCTAAACAATCTTCAGCAAAACACACCAACGGTATTCACACTCGAGCAGAAAAAGAATATGGGAGAAAACAAACAATAAATCATATATGAAACTTCCAATTTTGGTGTCCCCAAATAAATTGCATGTCAGCATTTGGTGCCCCTTGAATTGAAGGCCATTATGTTTTCTTGGCAGTAGCAAGAGAGAACCCAAAGGATTGGATCCGCCACCTTTTTACTTCAGTCACTTGGATGGTAACTGTAGTAAAATTACTTCCACTTCCAAATACTAGCCTGTCCAAAAATGATCACTGAAAAAAAAAAAAAAATCAATCAGATTCACCAAATATGTTAATCTAACACATATATGTTTACTCACCAATCTAGTGTGGATGTGAATACGTATGATGCATGCATTCCTTGTATGTTATTTTTTTTAAATAGTAGTTGATTAATCCAGCAACTAATTAGACACTGACTTTTTAAATTCAAACTAAAAATATATTACAAACTCAAAATTTAGACACCAAATTTGCCAACCTACTGTCCTAATAAGGTGGTAAATAATATAGTAGAAACTAGAAAAAATGTGGTTATCCATGTGGTCATTTTTTTCATAATATATGAAGTTTTTTTTTTTTTTTTTTTTTTTTTTTTTTTTTTTTTTTTTTTTTCATGACATATAAAGTTTGACACAAAGAAATGGTCAAAACATGATTCAGGTATAAAGTTTGACACAAAGAAATGGTCAAAACGTGATTCAGGTAGTAAAAATGACGTTGAAGGAATCCACCTCTTTCTGTTCGTTTAATTCAGAATTTTAAACCTCAATTCCATCCACAACCATGTGAAAAACACTAGGGGAAAAAAACAAGAAAAAAAGGAAACCTCTTAAAATGTAGTTAAATCTAAGTGACCAAAATGTCGTCTTCTTCTTATTATTATTTTTTTTCGTTAAATAGGTGATCAAATTTCTAGCACATTCTAAGGATTTTTTTATTTTTATTTATTTTCCCCTTCTTTGGTAAAGATTTGACAGCACACATTATTCGAAAAGGTTAAAAAAGTTAAGTTGAATGAAGATTTGACAGCACACATTGTCAATTTGAAATTTAAAAAATAGCAGATTCCCCACCTTTCCAAACCTGTGAGATGCAGAAAAATAAAAATTAAAAGATAGAATTACCTTAATTTTACTCATTTGCCAAAATATCTTCTTCATCATGGTTTCCAGACTCTTTTTCTTTGCCAATACTTGTTTCTTCATCATCCTTATATATCGCAATCCCTGAATTAAACAAAAGTGGATAAAACTTCATAATATTTATAATAAAAAAAATAGTTTGTCACTACTATGTAGGAAAAAGAATATATATATATAATCTCTTATCAAAGTTTCATGTCATTTCCATATTTTACACTTCCTTTCTTGAGCACGCTGCTGCACATAATTATTGAGGTCACTCACTTTTTTATCTTCATTATATAATTCTATCACCGGTGTGCTTATCTGTCCAAATGTGAATGTCTGCATTTTGTCACATTCTTCCAGCGTAACACTCTGTAGGGATGGCAATTTAAAAGCATTATTTGCCCAACAAAAACTTGTGAGGTTTGGTAGATGGTAAAGGTTCATCAACTGTAACTTGGGAAACACAATTTCATCCATGGCACCATCCTCTTCACCTTGATCTTCATTTTTAATTATTTCTTCAATCGCATCACAGCCACGAACACTCAGTTGTTCAATATTTGTGAGATTTCTTGCGATTGAGAGTGAGAATAAACATTTCAGGCTGTTGCAAGATTCAACTGTTAAAGATGTTAGGTTGTGGTAGGGGTCCAACTTGGTTATTTGAGGGGCTCCTCTTTTGATGTCTTCAAGTCCTTCAAGGCTGAAGAGAACTTGTAATGAATGACAACCCCACACCCTGAGTTCTTCAACAGCTTCAAACCTCTGTAGCAGCAGGGTAGGAATGTCTTTAAGCACTCTGCAGTTATTCAGCTGCAGCTCTCTTACTTTGCTAATGAGGCTGCTGGGACATGGCCATACAAAATATCTTCAAAGATGATGCTTCCATCTGAGAGTGTCAAATCCTCCAAGACAGGAAAAACAACCTACACAGATTATGTAGTAGTGTTTGAAGCATGTAAAATTTGATGAAAAAAAAGCAACGTACAGACAAATCAATTAAAGAAAACTTATTTTGTTATTAAATTTTCAGTTAAAAGGAGTTTCAAGTGTGATGGATGGGTTGCTGGACATGCATCCCACATGAAGCTGCTATTTGAGACAATAATGGCAAGGTAAGGTAATTTTGGATCAAAAGTTTAATACCATTGGATATATCGCAGATCACTATAATTCTTCTTAAACTATAATATTAGAAATGGTCAAATTTCAAAAGTAGTAGTATGTTAGGGGTGCATAAAATTTAATTTATTCTTAACCTTTTCGAATATAAATCATATAATATCATAATATGATATTATATTTTAAAATCATATAATATCATAATATATATTACTTAACAAATTTTTTTTTTCTTCTCAATATTGGACTTTCTTATTAAAATAAAATTCAGGTGAATTTAACAAAAAAAAACACTCAATAATATTCAAAGGATAAATATTGTCACACCTGCACTTAACATTCTCCTTTTAAAAATTTTCTTTTAATTTTTTAAATCGTGGGTTCATTCATAAATTTTTTAAATCGTGGGTTCATTCAAAAACTATGCGTCAATGCAGATATGCAATGACTTCTTTCTAATACGTAAGGCCTATTTATATATATAATACTAGTAATGGTCAAATTTCAAAAGTAGTATGTTAGGGGTGCATAAAATTTAATTTATTCTTAACCTTTTCGAATATGAATCATATCATATCATAATATATAGTAATATCATAATATTATATATATATATATATATATATATATAATTCTTTTTCCTTTATGGAAAGATTTGACCAAAAAAAAGTGCTTTGCTTTGCCAACTTCTGAAGCTAGGAATAACAAACTAACGTTGCATTGTGTTCTTCATTGTCAATTTTTAAATTTTAACTATTAAATAATAGGCATTTCTAAAACAAAACATGTTCAATTTAGGATATGGCGTACCTTTTCCGAGGATGATTGTGAGGGGGCAGTGACTCGGCAAGGAAACGTTTCCAATTTGGGACAAAAAAATATTTCCATACGTTTTAAGGATGACAAAAAAATATTTCCTCCGGTAAAAAATCCTCAGCTGGGGCAAAAACGCGAAGTCTATAGATTTCAATTGAGGGAACACAAGATTGTCCTCCGAGTCTTTTTCTATATCTGTATCTCTTGCAACCATTCCTTCCTCGGCATTTGACCCTCCTTCAACCTTAAATACCTCTTCCAAGGAGTCACACCTTAATATGCTAAGTTCTTTTAGGTTGTGGAAACTTCCAAGCAATTTTGATGGAGCAACACTTACCAGTTCAACACAAGAAGACACTTTCAACACCCTTAGTTTACAAATAGCATCTGTTGGAACCGTGTCGTCCCATATCTCCTTCACATTGTTTTCACGTCCTTTATACTCGAAGCTCTCCAAACAAGGGAACTTGACCTGCAAAACATCAATCTTCTAACCTTATTAATAAAAGAATAAAGAAAAAAGGGAAAGCAAGAGAAAACTCTCTATTAACATTCAAGTCTTCATTTCTCTATGACCACTTCATCTATACGAATATAGTATTACCATTTCATGCAAATACAAGCATGTTTGTATTTAAATGGGTCTCACATACCACATACCAATATTTAATTAGTTGGTAAACAGTTTATTCAATTTTGTAGATTACTTAATGTTGTCTCCATATATAAAATTGTTTGAATCTCTCCAGGAAAAAAATAATAAATAAATAAAATAAAATAAAATAAAATAAGAAAGAATCAAATTTACGCAGTCTATGTTCGCTCATTTGAAGGAATCCTAGTAATAACCAAAAGCAAGAAAACAATTAATATATGAAGAGCTATATTTAAACACCATGAATCTAGCAAAATGAACAAAAGAACCAAAGCCCAAGAGGCAAAATGAAACCCAGCGGAAAGATGTATATTCACATGGTTTTCTTCCTTCAAAATGGAGCAACTGAAATTTCATAAACTCTTTACGTAGTGTATGTGCGCACATTTGAAGGAATCCTAGTGATAACCAAAAGCAAGAAAACAAAATATAAAGAGCTATATTTAAACACCGTGAATCTAGCAAAATGAACAACCTGGGCATGAAGGCAGCAAATCAAAACGAACAAAAAAAACCAAAGCCCAAGAGGCAAAATGAAACCCCGCAGAAAGATGTAAATGCAAAGGCAAGAAGTGCGGGCTGAACAATTAAGAATGAGAGGTTGTAGCAAGAATCTGAGAGTTCCCAGATTTTGGTCGTGGACCCAGCTGTTGGAAAATGGGTCTATGCGGAAGCTTTTAAAAATCGTTTATGGTCCTATATTCAGCTATTAAAATTTTTATTCATTTCTATAAATGGTTTAGGGTTATGGGCTTTCTTGGGCTTCTGTTACTAAGAAGACCTTTAAATTCTTTAATTTAACAATTAATTAATACGTTTAATTTTTCATTCAAGTTTTCAATTCCAAGTTGAATTTGTATGCAATAAAGATTAATATTAAATGATTTAATTCAAAATAGTCCTGTAAGTAAGTGAAAAGAATAGACACCGATAAAGTTTAATTCACATTGCCACTTTTGTCATTTGTCTACTAGTAAAACGATGCATACTTTTAGGTGAGTAAAATTTAATTTAAAAATTAATATTCAACGAAGTAAGAAAATAATTATTTTTTGAAATAGTAATTAAAATTTAATTCTTTAAATTAATCACACTGATATATTTATTAATAATCAATGAATATAAATTGTCACAATATATTTTCAAACTCCTAAAATAATATCAAAATCAAGACTATTTTTTATTTCAATTCACTAATATTTATTTTTGTAATGAATAATATTCAACAAATAAATGAAACTCTTTTTAAAAAATAAAATAATAAAGAGGTTATTTGAGTTTTATAGAAACTCTTCTAAGAAAATATAAAACTCATAATAAACAGGTAATTTGAGTCTTTTGTTTAAGATTTATTGAAAAATTTATTTTGTGATTGACCAACTTATATATTTGTCATATATATGTGTATATGTATATCTACCATAAATGTGGCCTAAATTTTTATAAATACTTCTTCTTCTTTTTTCTTAGATTAAAAAAAAAAGAAAAAAAGAAAAAGAAAAAGTACTCACAAAGAAATCATGTTTTGATGGTTTTAGTTCATTAAAAGAATTCTCCAAGCAACATAACTTCACTAAACATAAAAATAGAAAGTTCAAACATCAAAATGATATAAGCCTGATAATTAAGGAGGCATTCTATATTTGTGTTTAATTGACATTCAAAATAAGAATAATTTTTTAATTATGTACTTGATTAAAAATATCAGGGCAAATTAAGTTTTTAAAGATAAATGTATCTAGACCATAAAATTTCTTATTAAAAAAAACAATACTTTGATCCTCACGGGGCGTATACCATCTCAGCACATAGGTAATAAAGTCTTGTTATGACACAACATATTTGACTGTTAATAAAAATAAAAATAATGAAAGTCATGTGGGCCCATTTAATTTTTGGATAACATTATTCTATTTTATTTTTATTAATCATGATGTGTCATAACAACCACATATGTAATAGTGAAGGTGTAGGCCTTCACCGATTGAGTATTATCATGTAAGAGGAGCCGCATGCAGAAAGGGCTAATACTTAAAGCCCATGCACTTCAAGTCAAAATAAATTCAAGGATATGGATTTCGATAAATTGTTTTGGTTTACGGGTTTTGTGATTGGGGTTGCCCATTAGAGCCCAACTGCAAATATTATTCCACAGAAATCTCCAAGAAAAAAACAAAACGCTTGTTTTTATCTCAATAAACTTGCATGGTACATGGAAACTGAAAAATGATAATAAAACAATAGCACAAATTCTATATATTAAGAAATAAATTTATGCACAAAAGAACTGACTGAGCTAAAAAGAAGGAAAAATGAAAAATGTGAATGATGCATATATGTTAAATTGGAGTTAGAAAATACGTACCTTGTAATTGAAAAGGGATTGTAGTTGGGGAATACTGTCATCCTTCACTGTTTCTTTCTTGGGTCCACAGAAACTTTTGAGATTTGGTAACTTTATAAGATACATTTTCTTTAATTGAGGGAAAACAATGATCTCCTCATCCACTACCTCATCTTTCCCTTCTCCTGTTTCAATTGCAATTATCTCTTCTATATCCTCACAGTCTATTACTATCAAATCTTGTAGCTGCCCAAGATCTCTTGCTATAGATGATGAGAATACATTTCTCAAACTATGACAGTCGCTAATGTTAAGAGATGTTAGGTTTGAATAGGCACCAATGTTAGGTCTGTGATCAGAATGCTCCTTTCTGTTCAAACCCAGGAGCATCAGCTTAGGTAGTGACTCAAGAATCATTGATTTTAACTGAGGTAGTTCCATTGATGTTGCAGACCCATTTTCAATAGTAAGCACTTCGACTGCTGACACCACCGACTCACACCCTTTAATTTCGACCGTTTCCAAATTCTGTAACCTTGGAATCAAATTGGAGGGTATCACATTCACCAGTTTCTGACATCTTTCTATCTCTATCTCCCTCAGCTGCTGGAAGGATGATTCTTCTTTTGCTTCCGAAGCTAGGAATAATTGGTTATCCCATATCCATGTAATGCTTTCCAATTCGCTTATCTTTAGTTCCTCCAATGCAGGGAATGAAACCTACAAAATTCATCAATCATCATATTATGATCAAAAGATTTGCATCATATCAATAAACCCCAGCTCTTTACTTGACTAGTGCTGCTCGTAAATTTTACAAACAAGCTTCCTTCGCCTTCACTATTACAAGTGTTATATGGCAAACGTGTATGTATATATATATATATATCACATCTTGAGTGTGGGAAAAGTAAATGTATATCTTTCATAATTGTGCTCTAGATTTTTATAAATACTTTTTTTTTTTTTTTTTCTTCGATAGAAAAAAAGTACTCAAGAAAAGAATTATGTTGTGATACTTTTTTCTGTTAAAAGAATACTTCAAGTAACATAACTTCATCCAAGCATATAAAGAGAAAGTTAAAAAATAAGAAAGACATATACCTGATAATCAAGTTTTCTTTGTGTGATCAAATATCAGCTTTAAAGCCCAATCACAAAGTAGATTTTTATAAATTGTTTAGGCTTCTTTATTGGGCTTCTATTAGTTCTATTACATAATATTGGGACTGCCTATTTGGCAGGTTACTTAATGTTTTGGGCCAAGCGCCTCCGTTAGGCTGGGTTTTGACCCATTACAACCCAACTGCAAATGTTAGTCCATATATAAAATTGCTTGAATCTCCCTAGAAAAAAGAAAAGAAAAAAAAGAAAAAGAAAAAAAAGAGCTTGTTTTTATCCAAACTTGCTGGTTTCATAGGAACTAAAATAGAATATTATCATACTTGATAATAACAGCTTTATTAAAGAATGAGTGTAATTATTTTTATAAAAAATAAGGACATAAATGACTTAATTTGGTATTCATTAAAAATACTTTAAATGGTTTCCAAACACAACTAAATGCAATTTTTCTTAATAAAGGCGCGTTTTAAAAGGGTGGGCTAAACGGGCTTGGAATTAAAAGCGCGTTTTTAAAGGGTGGGCTAAATGGGCTCGAAATTTAACCGCACCAATTTATATTATATTCGACTAGATGAAATTGGAGACTTGAAATTGGTAAAATTGAAAGGAAAAAAAAAATATAGTTAATAAATTACAAAAAAATAAATTAAGATTTCCTCAAAGCTAAATATAATGGGTAAAACAAATTGAGAAAATATTACCATCTAAAAGGAGCCGCATGCAAAAATAGCTAATTTTATTGAGTGGACATAAACTTGACAATAGTGTGCTTCATGGTCTAAGAGGAGCTTCCCGCTAATATTATCAGCCTTAAAGACCATGTACTTGGGATCAAATTTTATTTATTTATTATTTAAATATTCCTACAAGTAAGTGAAAATAATAGTACTCCATATTTCATTTAGCATTAATTGCAAAACAGTTCTTGACGAATTTATATACGTGTATGTATATTCTTCTACAATTTATAAATGTGGTCTACATTTTCATAAGTTATTGAGACGATGTCTCTTGAACTAATTATAATTGTAGCTCTAGGAGGACTTATTAATCCAATGCTTCCCAACTATCAACATATATATATATATATATATGTGTGTGTGAAAATTATGTCTACAACTTGACTTAATCACATGGTTTTCTTCCTTCAAAATGGAGCAACTGAAATTTCATAAACTGTTTACGTAGTGTATGTGCGCTCATTTGAAGGAATCCTAGTAATAACCAAAAGCAAGAAAACAAAATATAAATTTCAGTTGAATTATCCATTCATTTAAAATAATAATAATAATAATAATAATAATAATAATGGAGCATGTTGAATTATCCATTCATTTAAAATTAGCATATGTAATTATTGTAATAATATAATTGCACGCTTAAAAGATAAGCTCTTTAATTTTAATTTTAATTTTTTCTATGCTAATCTTTATAATTTTTAAATCACAGTATCTCACCAATAAAGTGGGTGAGATTTCACATTGCCACTTTTGCCATGTGCCCTTTTTCTACTAACTAGTAAAACAATAAGTGCATTGTAGGTGAGTAAAATTTAATTTAAAATTAATATTCAACAAAGTAAGTAAATAATTATTTTTTGAAATAGTAGTTAAAATTTAATTCTTTAAAATAATCACACTGATATACTTATTAATGATCAATGAATATAACTTGTCGCAATATATTTTCAAACTCCTAAAACAATATCAAAATCAAGACTATTTTTTATTACAATTCACTAATATTTATTTTTCCAATGAATAATATTCAACAAATAAATGAAACTCTTTTTAAAAAATAAAATAATAAATAGGTTATTTGAGTTTTATAGAAACTCTTATAAGAAAATATAAAACTCATAATAAACAGGTAATTTGAGTTTTATAGAAATTGTTCTAAACAACTTATAATATAAGTTGTATAGAAATTTCTGTTAGATTTCTATAGAAATCCTTTAAAAATCTTTTTTATATTAATTAATAAATTTTTTTTATGTTAATTAATAAATATTTTTTATATAAATAAATAAATACTGAAATAGTGAAACTGTACTTTTAATATTAGTATGATAATTTGTGTTAGAGTTTTATATAAACTCTTTTATATTAATTAATAAATATGTAATTTGAGTTTTTTATTTTATATTTTATATTAATTAAAAATAAAAATAAAAACTCATAATATATAGAGAATTTATGTTAGAGTTCTATAGAAATTCTTTTAAAACTTTTTTTATATTAATTAATTAATTAATATTTTTTATATTAATAAATGAAATTCTGAAATACTAAAACTCTTTTTACTTCGAATAATAAAATAGTATAGATATAGATATAGATACAAATATAAATATAGATATTAATATTGATATTGACATTGATATAGATATATATATAGATAGATTGTTTAGACATTCACATGGTATTGTATTATATAAGCAATGATAGTGATTCCAAACACACCAATGGTGCCCCAAGGCCCAAACTTTTGATGCTGGAGGGTGAAAAATTCAGAGAATGAGAAGTGAGACTCCAAAGGCATATACCAGTTTTTGAAATAGGCTAATTAATTATGTACAAGAAGTATACTTCCAAGTGGTATATGAATAAAATATGTTTTGAGCAAAAGAGCATACCTTTTCATTAAAGAAAGCTTGTGCAAGGTCGGAAGTATTGCAATCCGTGCTTGACGTTTTCTTCCTATTGGTGCAGCATATGCTTACGAGGTTTGGTAGTCTGTACAACTCCATTTTCTTTAATTGATGAAAAGTAACATTATTCATTACTTCCTCATCATCATCTAGAATTATTTCTTCCATGATTTCGCATCCCCGTATTCGTAATTCTTGGAGTTGTGGAAGAGCTCTTGCCATGGATGCGTTGAAGAGAAATTTCATTCCACAACGTGTAATACCTAACACACTTAATCTGTTGAAAGCACCGTGACTTTGAAAATTCCATTTTGGACTGCCAAGTAGATGTTCCATGTCACTAGAGTCCTCGATTCTAAGATATTTCAAATCCAGAAACCCTTTTCCATCTCCACATTGAAGCACATTCTTTAAACCTTCCACATTCTGTAAAAAAAGTGCTTCCGCATTCTCAATCAAAATATTGAACTCCTTCCTTATACTAATATCATCAAGTTTCAACATCCGTGCTCCTAAGTCTTCTTCATCATACCCAAAACCCTTAGTCCTCCCAACTGATATTTTGAATCTGTTCAAGGACTTAAAGCAGAGCTCATTGGGCAGTAGCATGCCATCTCCTATGTGAATTTGTAAAGTGGTTAAGCCTTTCAGTGAATTAAGTTCATCAAGCCTTGCATTCCCTTCAAACCCCCATTCCCCAAAATCATGTGGAATGTACAGTTCCTCAATTTTAAATAGACTTTCTATGACACCCGATGGAACGATCTTAAGCTGTCTACAGCGGCTCAAATCCAACCACTGCAAGTTAGTCAACTGTCCTACCTCCACAGCTACCTCTTTCAGATCATAATCATTAATGCTTAGTATCTCAAGATTTCTTAGTTCCTTGAGAAAAGCCAAGTTCACCTGCTCACAATCATAGAGACGCAACATCCGAAGGTTAACCAGATTTAGAGGTGATGATGGCAGCTTCACGCAACACAAATCTAAAACTTCAAGTTTTTTCATTCCTTTAAAAAAACTGTCTGGAACTTGTGGTTTACGGTCCTCGTCGCATTCCAATACCAAGGTGCGTAGTTTTGAACATTCTATCTCACTCGGAAGCTCATAAATATTTTGGGATATCAATGAGATTACCCGGCGGGATTTGTACTCATCTCCATCCGGCCACTTTGAGACACCTGTTTTTGCTAGAAATCCCTTTTCTTTTGATGCAATTGAGATGGCAACAGCTCGAATGGCGTCGTGCATTTTAACGAAGTACTTGTTTTTACCATCTAATAACAAATGTGATTCCTTCAGGATATCGACCAGCACAAGTGTTGTATCTCTTGCTTTTTTTATTGTTTCCAAATTGCCCTCGAGAAACCTCGTTCCCACTCCATACATCAACAAGTCATCAATGGGAATCTCAGCATCCTCTGAAAACAAAGAACAATACAAAAGGCATGAGTATAACATATCATCTCTCTGCTTTAGATACTCGAAGCTCCACTTTATGCGTGAAAACAATTTTTTGTTCACTCCATCGATTTTCTCTCCCTTGCAATTTTTCAATTGTCCAAGTGCAACATCCCACCTATACTTTCGTTTCTGATTCTTCAGTGCTGCACCAACGACAAGTATTGCCAAGGGCAAACCATAACACTTTCTACACACTTCTCTAGCAACAGATTCAATTTCATTAGTTAATTCAATAACATATCCCACTGCTTTCTGAAACAGGCCCCACGATTCATTTTCGGTTAGAAGTTCAATTTTGAAGTCTTTTTGAACCCCCATATTATTCCACACACCTTTTTCCCGAGAGGTGAACAAGACTTTGCAACCCTTCATATGTTTATCGCTCGGTGGGATTCCTATTTGGTCCAACGTTGTATTATCATTCCAAATATCATCTATTATTACAAGGAATTTTTTCCCACAGCTTCTCCTTTCTGCCATCTTTGGTATCTGTTTCGAATTTCAACTTTAAACACCCTCCAATTTCTTTTTGAATTTTTTCTAATTCTGGATTTTGGGAGAAGACTGCCATAGCGACCTCATCAAAAAGATTCTCTGTTTTAGCTTGTTTGGCAATTTCTAGTGCCATTCTCGTCTTTCCAGTGCCAGGCATTCCGTGTATCCCAATTGTATAAATCTTATCATCTTTCAACACCTCGATGATCTGTTTATGAACCGATCCTCTCGATTCGAAGAGCTCAAAAGGTGTGGTAGCTGTGTACCAGCAAGGAGGGCATCCAACTGCACAACGAAACAGCTGGCCGCCAGCAACTAGTAGCTGAGAAAGATCTGGCAACAACTTCTTACCATCCTTACTAAGCCGATACATAGAACAAACATGGAAACATGACTTGCTGTCTACCAATAATTTTTGCACGTCGTCCTCCATTTTTTTGGCTTTTGTTAGCCAATCCGAAACAGCTCCATTGTTCTCCGCAGTAGTGGCTATTCCTTGGATCTTCTGTTTCACGCCTCTAAGATCCTCCACTTTAGCATCAAGACTCTCCAAATTTTTCTTGTAGTCCACATAACCAATTTGACGCCCCACGTATGTGAAGCAGCACCCTGTAAGTTTCTCTGCAATCTTTGTCAGGAAAGCGGAAACAATGGCAGTGGCACATTCCATTTTCAGCTCACTAGCTACCTTTTTCCCTAAATACAGAGCAAATTTCAGCGAATGACGTACAAAGAACTACAAGTGTTACTATTAAAGAAACTAAAAGAGACAACACTTGGGCATGTACCTTTAACAAGCTTAAGAGATTTGTTAGGACAGAGCTAGAGCTAGTTTACTTCCGCCAACACAGCAAGTCTGATTGTAAACAAGAGATGGCTAAAAAAGATGTTGAAAACTAAATGCAGCAAATGCATACTATGATATTCTAGACAAATTTCTAAAATAGAAGTTTTGGGGAAATTATTTAAATCAAAATTATCTTTCAAAGACTCCTATATAAAATAAAATAAATTAAAAAAAAAATGACAATTGAAAATACAGACATTTCAACAATTTTCAATGCAATTCTATCAAGGTGAATGGGCCCCTTTAATACAATTGAAGACTTAAAAGCAGCTCCAACGGGCCTCTTGTTAAAGATTTTGCCTTTTTTCTGGCGATTGGATTAGTCCAATGGAGTCTCCAAAATATGGGTCCCATTTTTTGGATCGCGAAATGGGTCGCCAAAAACGGCCACCCAATTGGCGATTGGTGACTGCCTTGTGTGAGCCCGCCTTCTTTTTAATTTTTTAATTTTTGTGGCTCAAAACACTGTATCCCAGAATAACTGTAGCCCAAAATAAATAAGAGATGGCTTAGAAAGATGTAAAAAACTGAATGCAGCAAATGCATACTATGATATTCTAGAGAAATTTCTAGAATACAAGTGTTTGGGAAATTATTTGAATTTGACTCAAATTTTTGTTGTATTGAGATGCAATTATAAACAAAGGAAATTATTTATGGGCTGGTGGGCTTTTGGAGATAAAGTGCAACAGTTGGCCTACAGTTCCTATCTCTTGTTGGGCCATCATCACAACTCGTACTTGTATATATTTGTTTCACTAGAATGCAGTAGAGAGAGCGTCCGGTGAGGTTAAATTAATGTGGCTTAATTTGTGTGTATATTGTTGGGATTTATATGCCCTAACATTGCAAATTCCTGTTTGGATTAAAGTGACTATGTTCCCGACGTTTCTGAAATATTTATGTTTTATACAATTGGTGAATTCAATGTATTATATTTCAATTTATTATAGAATTGATAGTGTCAATTTGATTACAAGAGATATTTATATATATGTATGTGATGACAATCAATGCATGATATATAAATAGTAATCATAAATTGTTCATAGTCAGTAATTATGGATGGACTCATAATTAATTAAGACTTGAACTGAATCCGCGTTAGGTTGAGATATATTGCGAGAGCCGTCGTATGCAATTGCTTCCTATCACCGTTATGGCATTTGACTCTTAAGCATGAGAAAAGTATAATCTCTTTTATTAATTAATAATTACTTTGATTTGTTTGGCGGATTCTTCGGAATCCTTAGACCGACACTTTGGGTAGTTATGTAATTAATAGTTAGATGGTTATATTTTCAATATTTGCATCATTGCTACTTGTATTTATTTTGTATTGATTATGGTTGATCACAAAGTAAATTCGAAGGCCTTCGTGTGTTTTTAGACAAAATGATTTATTATATATTTATTTATTTAAATTATTATTTTTTGTCAAACAAATGTTTTATTGTGATTGAGTCAGAAATAATCAAAGGTACCAAAATAAATATATTAATTAAGTAGTCGGATTGATGGCTTTATTTATCCGATAACTAATTATATATAGAGGGGTCAAAGTGTAATATTGACTTAGAGGTTATTTATTATTTAATTGGAGTTCAATTAATTTCTTTTAGTGGAGTAGAAATTAATTTATGAATTAATTGAATTGGGTCCATGAGCCGGGCCAATTATTAATTCATTGTAGCCAATAAAATAATAGGCCCAATGGATTCTCACTCATAGCCCAACTTGATATTGGAATCATATTAGATTTGAGACATGTAAATTAGAGATTGAGAAGGATTCGTTGTTTCCTTTTCTTTACCTTTATGTTGCCTATAAATATACATGGTCTATGTATATTTTGGGGATGATTTTTAGAAGAAGGAAAAAGGAATTTATTTTCTCTCTCTAGAAAATTAGGGTTTATGTTCTCATCTAATGGAGGCTCCCACAAGTCTAGTTTTCCAAGGTCATTCATGGAGGCTTATGAGTGATTCATAAAGGCAAAACAATTACCAAGAAGATGGAGATCCAAAGAGAAGGCATCTTGCTAAGGGATCTACAATAAGTGAGAACATTCACTTTAGAGGAAAGATTTAAAGGTTTACTCAGACCTTTGATGTAAGTATTCAATTTATTAATTGAATGATACATCATATTTTTATTTTTGCATAAAACTTGTCTCTATGTGATGAATCAAGATTTATGAATCAAAATCCCTCGAAAAGTTTTTAAAATTTACACGTTTCCCAACATATATATATATATATATATATTTTTTTTTTGTATTTTTACGACGGTTAGTAATTCATACTGGTTTAATTACTAATTAATCACACATATAGAACAATATCATGGTATACATAATTGATGGGATTCTTAACCATATATATATGTGAGAGATTTTATGATACAAATGGTCATGGACTAAAAGAGGCTAACTAGTATGCATAAAAATGTTGCAGAACTAAATGCATATACAGTGATATATATATATATATATATATATATATATTAATGCACATTTTAAAAAAGGAAGAGAGAGAAAAATAGAGGAAGGGTTCTGATCGGTTCTAATTGTAGTCGCTAGGGTAGTTTGGCAGGAAACAATTTAGGGTTAGTTTTGAATTTGTTTTTTAAAAAGTTCTTAATGTTAATATTGTTTAATAGAAATCTCTAAAAATATGATTGATCTTCAATGTTTTTTTTTTTTTTTTAAAAAAAAAAGATTAATGTCAAAACTTATACAAAATAATAGGAGCCATGTTACTTCAATTCATGGTTTAATTAGAAAGCGGGAAAATAAACAATTCATGAAAGAGGAAAAATGAATTATTATTATTATTATTATTATTATTATTTTGTAATTGAAAATTTTCAAATTTTTATTTATTTAAAATTATTTTCCTATATATAAAATATAATTAAAACAAAATATTATAAATAGTTTATTTTCTTTTTCTACAAGCATTCAATTAGAACTAATATATTTAAAGAGAAATAGTGATTTTCAAAGTTTAGTATCAATTAATAATAATAAATATCAAAAGCATATTTATTTAAGGTATTTTGGATGCTTTGAATATTGAAGTTAAAAGTAGTAGTGTATTTTCATTTTATGCACTTTTTCAAATTCAAAGTTCAATTTTTAGGGATATGGTTTTAAAAAATATCTTGTTTATGTTTAATTAAAAAAAAAAAAAAAAAAAGAAGAAGATAAATTGATCAGCATCAAAATTTCATTTATCAACACTTCCAATTCTGACATTCATCACTAGGTATTTATTTTTCAGAATCAGTTAGGTATTTGTAATGTCATGTAAATTATTTCAAAACATAAAGTAAAGTGCCTATTTTCTTTTTTTATATAACCATTCAATTAGTACTAATATATTTAAGGAGAAAGATTAATTTCAATGTTCAGTTTCAATTAATAATAGTAAATATTTGAATCATATTTAGTTAGTGTATTAAGTATATGTGGAATATTGTAGTTATTTATTCTATGGTATTTTATAATAAAATAAAAAAATCAAACTTAGGATTAAATTTCAACGTTCAATTTATATGGATGTAAAAATCACTTTTTGTTTATAATTAGATTTATGAAACATAACTAATGACAGAAAAGGGAGAAAAATAATCATAAATTGATTAATTGACCAAAACTTCATTTATCAGCACTTGAAATTCCGACTTTAATGCATTCATTTTACTATAATTCTTTTTTGTTTAGAAGAATTATAATATTAGTATGCCTTTCTTTAGCCTGTAAAGAGTTAAATTATATTATTAGGTGATAATCGCACTTCACTTCAGTTTTATACAATTGCACTCTAATCTTAAAGGAAATGATACCTCTAAAACTAAGTTTAAAAATTAATAATTAGTTTTTCAAATACCACAACTACCCAGTTATGGTAAGATCTTTTCGTCTCCCCCTATATTCCAATTAACATATTTTGGTATCTTACATTATTTATTGTTTTTTGAAAAATTATAAGTTAGTGACAAAAACTAAACAAAATTGTTATAAAGTGATTAAAAAAAATATAAATATGACTCCTTTGATGGGCTTAGTGTTGACGGCTGTGATGAATATATTAGATAAAACATAATGACTTTAGTAAAGAGATAACGCACCGTTTTTACTATTTGCGATACAATCTTGAGTTTGATCTAAACCCTTCATAGGAGTAATTGATATCATGATTCCAATTATTAATCACTATCCTCTACGGTCATCCTTAAGGTGATTATATTACATTGTTTGAATCCATCAACAGTGGCGGAGCCACACTAGGTTCCGAACTTTTCCATTTTTAGTAATTTTCATACTAGAATTTTAATAATTCTAAAATGCCCCCCCTAAACCCCTAATAATGCCACAAAAATCTTTTAAAAGCCTTTCAAAATTTAAAAAGAGCCCCCATTTTCTAACTTACTATCCATCAAAATTTTCGAAAAAAAAAAAAGAGCCCCCATTTTCTAACTTACTATCCATCAAAATTTTCGAAAAAAAAAAAAAAAAGACTTTTTTTCACAGAGATGTGATTTATTATTGGTCCACATCACTAGTGAGGATGGTATCGATCCTCACTAGTGAGGACCTAAGTATTGCTCTTTTTTTTTCCTCCTCAATTGAGTCTCACAAAATTTTTACAAATCAATATTTAGAAAAGACCCCTCCTTTGCTATGTTTTTATTTTGGTTCAAATTTTCTTATCATATTTTTGTTTATTGTTGCCCCCGCTAAAGGAAATTCATGGCTCTGCCACTGTCAACATGAATGTGTTTCTTCATAAAAAAAACAAAAAACACTAGCAGACAGAACCCATCAATATGTCTTGAATTTAAACAAGCTATTAAATAAACACTTTTTACTAAACGCTATAATACAGTGAATTGAACCAACTAGTCTAATGAATCTTAATATTCTTTTTAGATTACTTTGGTTTATTATTAGTTTGATTTATGTAGAGGCGGAGATTAACAAGGAAGGAGAGAGAGATGAGATC